CCGAGGCATCATGCTTAGGTTGCCGGTAGTTTGACAATGGACTAGATTTGTCATCTGGACAAATTGGAGTAATAGTGGGATCAAGATGTTGACCTCCGCCAAATGTATCTGTGACGGCAGTGGGTGAGTCCATTCCCGTCGCCGCTAAATAACGGTTGTTTGAAAAAGCAGCTTGAAAGTTTGAAGGAACATGGAAAAGAGCGGGTAGCAATATAGTCCTACTGGTCGATGTCCTTCCATTATGTGTGCACTTCCAGTGATTGTTTTGGAATGCAGGATGATAATTAGGCGTAGATAAGAGACAGTTGTTACTGGTCTTATTTAAAATGGAATGATGTTTGTCCTGGTGGTTTTAGGAGGTTGGTCAATGGGGAATTTTGGATGTCACTGAGTATTTAGTATTAAAACATTTTTTTAAAGACACAGGTCTCTCAATTGGAGAAATCGTCCTTGGACGACAGTGGGTTATGAATTACATCAGATTGTCTATTCTTGGACTTGTCTTGTTGGTTTGGACCGGATTGTGATATATTCAACGAGTTGTCAGTACTCCACTCTTCCAAACACTCTAAGGGAGTGAGACTTGGCCTATTGTTCCAAAGACCTATGGCTGACTTCAGAGAGAACGCCTCGGCTTTCCTTCACGCGTGCATTGTTGAGACAAGAATGTGTTGATAGTTTTAAACAAAACAAATTTTAGAACGATTGCCTTGTTTAAAACGGCCAGCAGGCTGGTAGTAGGCTTGCGGGTCCGCTGCACAATTGGCTTGGTCGCCTATCTGTTGATCGCAATCGGTGTACCAGCACACTTCTGTGGTGTTGAGGGTGATCAGCCAGTCGGAGACATAATATGTGACTGGTCATGATGTCAATCTGGTGTAAGGTTTCACCACCGCAAGAGCGAGATGACATTTAAGTGAGTGGTAATAAGAAGCGGATTGGTTGTTTTGTTGAGACTGCAGCCACTGCGGATTATTGGAAGGGAACCGTTGAAGGAGTACGTGTGGAGTGTACGGCTGAATTCCTTGCTCGCTTGCCTATCTGATCACACGTGATAAGGTATGCATAGTGTAATCGTGCCACTGCAAGCAGTCTGAATAATCGATACGTGTGCGAGTTCGTTTAAGAAATGCGTGTAATTGTTAAGGCAGTATGAGGTAATCAGAAACCATACAGTACTTCGTACGAAGGAAGTAAAGCTAGGACTCGTTCACAAATAGAAATTTTAAAGCCTTTACAGCTACAAGGTTCTCGTGTTGTGTTGTTTCAATTGGCCGTACACATGTGAATAGTGTAACTACGTACTGCTGATGGAGTCAACGCATTGTGTACTAAGGTCAAGTTCGCTTAATAGGTAAGACCATCAGTGGATCTGTAGCCATTGTTCCAAAGAGGAGGCTTCCTAGTGTGGCGGTGATACGACATTAGTGAGTGTAAGTTTGTCTCCACACCTGTGGGCCACTTCGGTAATCAGTTACCGCTTCAAGACCCATGGATCTGCTGTTATTTAAAAGTTGTAAATACATGTCAATCCTGCGTTTCAACCTCATATGTACGCCTCACTTCCATGTGATTGATGAGTTTGAAATACCAGGTGACCGTACGGCGCTGATATGAACTGCCAACATGCAGTGTAAGCATAAGGTTTGGAGCAATTTTCCTCATTCAACAATGCCTCCATAATTACCCATCTTCCAATGACAAAATGTCATGGCGTGCACACATGAGTGCCTCTAAGACTGGCTGAAACAGTGGTCCATAGCAGGCTTAGTGGGTGCGGCTGCCTTTGTGAATGATTGCAGACATGCTGTAGGAACGCCAGTGGGTGAGACAACTGTGTTTGTCTGTTCCAAGTATTCACTTGAATTACCAGAGTAAAATGCGTGCGTCGCCACTAATTATCGGCCTTTGCACTTTTTCTAGCAGGACGACTTGGCATATATAAATATGTTAGTCATTGTAGCTCCTTTAGGTGTTGTTTTTGACTAATGCCGACTTCATGAAGATAGCATTCCAGTCCATGGGCGTAATATGGAGGTTCCATCTGCATTGACTGTGCTTCTAATCATGCCATTCAGAGAGCCACTTGTCAAAGCGTCTCAACACCTATGGGCCACCATATGTTAGTATAGCCTAATTATCCTATGAATACATAGATTCCTATGACGTTCAAATAACGCCATACATGGAGACACTGAAGCAATAACTGTTTACCAAAGTCGCCCATGGGTGTGGAGACAAGTAAACACTCATTAACATGTCAACACCACACTTGGCATCCTGTTAGTTTGCGTTTAGCCATCTAATGTGATAGAAGTAAGCAAATATAGAACTTTCGTTGTTTAGCTTCAGGTTGCTCTACCAACTTCAATGGGAACAATATCCCCCATGATCTTTGCAATAACAATTGCACAACATTGTCTAACCGCCTAGCAGCCATTGCTGATTCAGGTTTGAGTGTGCAGTGTCTTAACCACGGCGCATGTCTGATCAACCGCAAATGCAGGCCAGCCTGACTCCCTCAGACCTCAGGGACTGCGGTATAACGGTTAGAATATTGGCTGTCTGCGCCACCATGGTTAGGCCGCTGAATAAGCCACCAGCAGGTAGCGCCTATCGATCACTAAGTACAGACCGATTCATGTCCTGGCTAGTATGTCTGTCCGCACTGGTTACGGCTTAAGTTTCGGACCACGTGGTAGCTAGGAGCTCCTCCTTAGACAGGTATCACAAGTTGCCTATTAGACGGTTTCAGTTGGGAGACCAATCCTCAAGGTTTACTTCGGATGAGCATCAAGATAGAACAGAAGGGGGTGCTCGACCACTTTCGTTGGACTGTCTGTCGCTTATGCTTGGGGCTTCCAACCGGTGTCCCATTGGCCAATGTCCCATGACCAATGAGAGTGTCAACGACACCAAAACAGCGTTCTTAGCCTTGCTAACTTGAAAGCACTGCACGCGATTTCGAAAAGGTACCTCGCTAAAAGCTTGGTACAATGCGCTAACAGGCGTGTAAATTGGTATACTTATGCCTCTGCCGTTGTCTGTTGGTTGTACTGCTTGGTTAAAGTTTATTTGGTGCTGACGTATCTGCGAGATAACGGGTGCTAATGAAGGCTGCAGTGAAATTTGCAAGGAAGCTATATCGCTGTTGCCCACGTCTTTGCGCGATGGCCGGCTGTTTATGACATCATGTTCTCGACATGGTGTTGTTAACAAAGTGTATGCGTCTTGACACCGAATGTTTACTTATAGCGCTAAGGTTGTACGCCAGGTCCCTCTTCTCTCCGATATTATTCCTCGTTCATTAGATCATCGTGGTTGGGCGGCAGCGAAGCATAACTCCAGATGGCTGATGTAATTCTGTTGATTATCGGGATGCAGCTAACAAAACAATTCAGCACTGACCATCTAACGCCGCGCAAATATAGTTCACGCAAAACGTTTCAGTCCGTTTACCTTTGCCCTCTGTTAAAAGGTGTGTGCCCTCTCATCAGGACTAGAGGGAAATGAGGTCGCTTTATTTTGCCCCTAACAAGCGATGCAGATATGTGTGCAGCACATGCTATCTAATTCACTCATGAACCTCCAGGTTTCACCTGACTGTTCAAAATTTTGTAAAGTTGGAGGGCCATTTATCATACGTTAATTTGATACACTCCCATCAGATGATCCTGGAAAAACTGAAGTGTGTTTAAGAGTGGTTAACAGTTGTTGTTGAGAAAAATTGTGTCTCATTTGATTTTGGATTTCTTCACAAACAACCAAGATCTTGTAGAAACTTCCGGTTTAATTAACTCGGCCAATGCAAACTTGTTGGTCGCCAGTACGTAGCGAAATTTGATTGACTACATCTGCGGTGTTAAGTAGAAGCAAAGACACCGCTTTGTTTTAGATGTATAAGAAGAATTCGAATCCCTATTCAGACCTCCTTCCGTTTTCCGTTATCGAAGATGGTAGGTATGAATTACAGTTTGCATGGATGGTATCATATACTACTCAGATCCATTCGGGTAGCTTGTAAACCGGAAGAACGGATTTTACTGAGTAAATCTAGTGATTTTATTCATATAAACCTTAAAAATATACACCTTCCATGTTAGATTGATATAGATTTACTAGTTCAATGCGGTGTGATGAAACTCAACTTGCAGGATTTAACTGTCTATTGCTTCCCTTCTACCAGAGAATTTATTTCACAGTTTAACTGCTCAGGGTTTAACCAAACATCTTGTCTTATTCGTGACATTGTTTCAATTTATACCTTCCATTTTCCCTGTTTTTGTCTGCTGCTTTTGCTGTATCGGTTGTTACCTGTGCTCCCATCAGTTCGGGGCTAGTTCGATCTAGTTTGTGGAAAGGTGCACTTAGCTGATGTCCAGCGCTATCCGATCAAAAGAATACAGGAGTGCATGCCTTAGCTGATGGACGATTCATCGGATTATGCGAATATTGAGGACTCAAATCTCAAGCGGACCAGATTGAGCAAGAACGCTACAGACACTCCCGAGCAATGTAAGCCGATTAATACAGTAAAGCTGTGGAAACGTGCGTTGCAGAAGTTGCATTCAATCGATTTGGATCCTTGGTTGGACTTTCCCACACATGATATCCCGTAGAAACCGCTGTTTGACACCGGTATGGTACTATCAAAAAGAAATGGGTGATCAACGAAATACACGTCAAGATGCAATCCAACCCTTTTGATCGTGGCACTATGCGTGAATGCTTTCGTTCAAAAATCTTCCTCAGACTGACACACATGCGAACGATTGGCACTATGCATCCAATTACGTTGTCAAATGCTACATTTCCAACGTGGATAGACAGGTTTACTTTGATGATGTCCGCCTCCAAATGGAAGCCAAGCTTCGGGCTGAAGCATTTAACAGACAAGCACCCCCGAAAAAGTGGCTATTTTCCAGTTATCTGTCATAGAAATAAGACACTCTGAAGGCACGGATGCAAATCTCACCCGAATTTTCCATATAGAGCGGTTTATGGAGGGAGAGTATCGGAAGTATAACTCGAATTCCGGCTTCGTTGATGAACAGCTGCGAAATACTCCTCAGGCATTCAGCCATTTCACTTTCGAGCGATCTGGCCATCGTCTTCTCGTCGTGGATATTCAAGGCGTGGGTGACCTGTATACCGATCCACAGATTCACACATCCGACGGCGTTGGCTACAGTGATGGCAATCTCGGCCCTCGTGGAATGGCCCTCTTCTTTCACAGTCATCGATGTAACCCTTTGTGTGAATATTTGGGCTTAACCAAGTTCGATTTATCTCACACTGAATTGACAACGCAGATGCTGCATTCACACAAGCAAGTCGAGGGGGATGCACCTCATTCCCCAAAGGAGGAATCTTCCGATGAGGTGAAGGATAGTGATCTCCCTTACGTTGAAGCGTCAGGGGTTAAACAACACCCTCAGTTGAAATTATCCCCGGATGTGGTAAAGGCCATCAAAGTCCAAAGACGTGCTGTTAACCCAGGTCCCCGACGCCGTTCGGTTAGTTTCAATCAGTTTGGTATAACAGTTGCGCTGTCTACGGAACACATCCAACTCCCCATCACCGTCGACCTCAGACGTCGATGTGACAGCTGTTCCACGTCTTCCACTTGGCTTCATCTAAACCCGGCCGATTTGTTGTTTGACAGAGGATCACCGGCCCACTCTCTCGGAAGCGAGACACCGTCACTCACCCCGTCGAAGCTGGACACTAATGTTCCACACGCGCAGGTCTCGCCTGCACTGGTTGATGTTCACGGAACGGCTGGGGTGTGCAACTACGAGTACTCGCCGAAACCGTTGTTGAGTACTGATGCCGTCGGCCGAATCCAACAGCTTCGGAGTCGTGTGGCTTCTGAAGATTCCGGATACTCGTGCCGAATCAACTTTTGCGGTTATTACTTTTCAGCGATGTGGAATTGGGTGTCCCAAAGTCCAATAACCTCTTCTTCCCACCTTATCTGCCCGATGCGGCAATGCGTATGGTTGCCGGATCCATACCATCGTTGCTTGATCCTCTGATGTCCCCTTGTGCTTTGAATTTCTTTCGTGGAACTTTAGATTCACAGTGTATCGTCTCGGCGCACTGCAGTGGTAGAGAGGACTACATCATAGCTCATCCACATTTCTCGGCCCATTGGAATCACGGTATATATCATGGACCTTGTGGTCGACTGATGAACGGCGGTCTGCACCTACGGTGTCACCGGAATCCAGGTGAATCAAGCGACCTAGACGTTGAGGAACATCGTCGCATGGCCAAAAATCTTCTTCATCAGCTCATACATGAGAGCCATAAGCCAAATTGTGCAGATCACCCCACGAACCTGGATCAAGAGATCGGACAATCAATCTTGGGACAAATCTATCACGAACTAGCACGCCCGCACGAAGCGGGACGCTTTTTACGTGGCCGCAAAGGTGGTTGGTCTCGTGCTGGACTCGGAGGATTGTTATTACGAAATCATGGAGCCGATGCGGAATCAGATGCGGACAGCCACCACGCAGATAAACAGTGGGTGTCGCCGACCTGTTACACCGATACCTCGATCGACTGGACAGCGGTCCTGTTCCATGAGCGTCACGCGGCGCAGTTGGGCTGTCTGGAGGCTATGATTGTAATGGCCCACTACTATCTGGGTCTGCCCACTCAGCTCCTGCTGGATTGTCCGATCAAACCCGACCAAAATGACCTGAGATTTGGTGTGGATTACCTCTGGCGAGCCGCAGAGGGTGGCGATCGTCGTTGCATGATCCTTCTAGCTCATTACTTGGACATATCCGCTAGTTTGTATTTGCCGGAACCAAAGCTGAGCAAGTACAATTGCCCTGACAGCATTCTTCTCCTGCCTGCACTGCGAACTGTGCGCCCGGAAGCTCGCCCCTCCATCTCGCCAGATGCCTGGTCCGAGGCGATCACTTGGTACCAAAAGGCGGTGGATAGCGCAAACCCGTCCTCTCCACGCGACGGAGCACCTGATGAAGGTTTGGACGCCGAGGGACGCTACGATGCCGCAGAGGACTTACTGCCTGTATACAAGATACTGGCACGCATGGCAGATATGTACACGATTGGAGGATTCGGGTTGAAGCAGGACTACAACTTGGCCGGTGAATTATACAACCAAGCCGGTGAGCTTGCGTCCACTACGCGCGAGGGTCGACTTGCAGTGGAGTACTTCGAATTGGGCGAGGAAGCTTACAACCATTTGGAGTAACGTCACTGCATTGGACTCCATTTGTTCGGGTTTATCGTTGTGCTCAATAGTATTCGACCTCCCCGGTTTCCGGTGACTCATTCTCCTCGGTAGCTTCACACTTGCTGCGTTTTGTCTCAACCACGGCTCACTGAATGTCTGGAGTACGACACGCGGTTCATTCAAGCTGGTTTTAATGACGGGCGTATTTATTCTTCTTTATCCCACACTCTCTCCAACTCTTTTATTAGCTTTGGAGCGAGTGGGATTTGTTTTCACGCACACGAACCAATGTCAGTATTGTTTTCCTGTTCTCCATGAACAATATTGCCCTGGCATTATCCGCTTGATTGTTTCACCCATGCGTCTGCATACCGCTGACGTTGCCCCCAGTATCTTCCACCGCCTGTCCCTTCTTCTTTCCTACATTCGTACTTTCAAGTGCTTTTTTTACCGTTGTTACCATACGTTTGTGCTCTCCACCGATCGGCACCTCACACACACACAACCAACCGGTGATTGTTCTTACCATCTTCCTTCTTGCAAACTCTTTTTGTTTTTTTACTCTCCCTTGCGATGGGACCGGCTTCACCTTGAGAGAAATACGTCATCGACCAACCCTCTGCGTTTCCCTAATAAACTGTGGCCCGTGGTGCCCCAGAAAAAAGCCCACGGGACTTGTTAAACGATGCTTTTTCACCCGTATTAAACCATTGTTCCATTGTTCCATTGTCTACAACTGTTAAACAGATGTTTGTATGTTGTTGTAGGAAAGATGTACCATCGCTCGTTTAATCGGGATCTTATTCAACGGTTGTCAATTTGGTTGCTGATGTTCTGGGTAGCGGGGCTGTAGTATTTCAACTAGTACGGTTCGTTGCCACCGGAGCGATATCAGTGAGCCAAGAGAACGCTTAGAGATGAAGCTCAAAAACTTAAGAATGTTCATCGTGACTAGATTTAGCTAGACATACAGGCAGGAAAACTTCAAACGGCCGTTTCACCTTGTTAGTACTCTTCAGTAGCGCGGAGCCCCCAAATTCTGCCGGATCTGAACCCATGACCTTACGCTTACGAGCCAGTGGCTCATGCAGCTGAGCCATGGAAGTTAGCTTGCTACTGACGAGTCTCAATATGACGAAACGGTAGACTAGCGCTCTCCTGAGTGAGTGGTGGATATCTGGCTGAGTTTCGCAGCAACGAATTATCATAGAAAACAAAACACATTCCCCTACTACACAACTAATTTAAAATTGTTTAATAGGTAATTTCGCACTGTCGGCAACACTTCACTCGTATGCAGCTATAGATAATATACTCGGAATAATGTTATTTGGAGAGCCTTGTGCCTCTGTAGATGCATCCAAATGGGCGAATAAGGTGGAATATCGTCCATCCTAGGTTCCGCCCAAATTTGCGAATGGGATAGGTAGTTACTTCCCGAAGCATTAATTTCTGGGCTTCACTTTCACATTCCAGTTGAACCAACGTTGACCAAATACGTAGATCAAGCTGCAAGACCGCCTTCTTTCACAACATATCTTCTGACGAATTTTGGTCCACGTAACGATAGAAACTTTAATGCGCAATCACACTTTTGGTTACTTTTGACATTCTCTATTACGCTGAAGCCGACGGCACTTAACGGATACTCTAACTTGGAAAGTATATGGTGGTACAACAGAAGTTGGTTTTTGAGAAGCCTTGGCTTCTTCCAAGGACACCATATTTTTCTGGACAGTGGTGGTTGATCCTATAAGTTATATTCATGGAGAATGTGTTGCGATATGTTCTGTCTTTACAATGAGGTATTAAAGTAATATGAATGATTTAAATGAAATTCTCCTACACCAGAATCTGACGGATGTCGATATTAGAAAATTCAGAGAGGTAGTGGTCGATCGGTTCTGGACCAATTAGTAATATGAATGCTTGCGAACCTCGAGATCGACGTGAAATGCTTGGCAACGTTGATGACGTTATATCCCAATCGGTCACATGTCCATGCTAATTGCCAGTGCCCACATTAGCAAGGAGTCGTAAGTCACTGTTTGCCACGTTGGCTTACCACCTTCGATCTTTTAGTCGACGGAGACTCACACGAGGCCGATACGCCCCATCAAGAGAAAAAAAATCACGGTAGTTTTCCGTCTTT